CCCATCCCCCCCCCCCCCCCCCATGGAGAATGGCAGACCTGCAGGCTGCATACAATGTCGCAGAGATCACTAGTAAAAAACAAGCGGCGGCTTCCCCACTGGACATTTAGCCCTACTTGCCCAAAGCAGGGCTAAATGTAGAAAACAGCTACCTGTCCAGGCATCAGGAGATAGGAATTCAACACCCCTGCTGCCCCTCTACTCCCTGAGACCGGGCCTCGGTTGGCCTTGTGGGAAATCCGGCCCTGGATGTATATACAAAAAGGCACCTGTGGGGAAAAAGTTATCACAAGATAACCGCACTGCTTCCGCACTGCAGGGAATGGCGTCACTATCTTTCTCACAAGATACCCGGGGAATGCTGAATACACCAAATCTCATCAGATGACACTCCAGCAGGCTGCAGGAGCGGCTTCTTGCAGGTTTTGGGGTACCCAGCATTCCTTGATAATATAGTTCACAATACCCTTCCTTGTCTGGGAATAAGATAAATATATTTTCTAACTTTTTTCTCCATTGGTGTGTTTTTGTACACCTTAGCACAATTAATAAAGGGAGGGGGACCTGATTATTTTCTTGTGCAGAGTCTTTACTAGCAATCGGAAAAAAAAAAAATGTTTAAAAAAAATCACGTAATAAGGCTAATGAGGGCACAAGAACAGTTTCAGAATAGTTGAAACACGGTTTTTCAACACTCAGGGACCATTTAAAACCAACTGTGCCCTTAAACCACCATAAGCCCCCTAAATTTCACCTTTCTCACTGACTCCAATGCATTTCAATAAAAGGAGCAGCGGAAGGGATACCCAACTGAATAACTGAATATTTATTTATAGGGATGCATCGATACTAGTAGCGGTATTGGGGTTGATGCTGAGTATTTGGGCGAGTACTTGTACTTGCCCAAATGCTCCGATGCCTAGCCCGATACCTGGACTTCCACGATCAGGAAGCCGGGCAGCGAGTCATTACACGTGGCCCCGCTTCCTGATTGGCTGGGAAGCCGGCTCCATGCTCCCTCGTCACCAAATGACGAAAGAGCATGGAGCTGGCTTTCCGGCCAATCAGGAACCCGTGCAGCGTGTATTGACTCGCTGCCCGGCTTCCTGATTGGTCGAGAAGCCAGCCAATCAGGAAGCTGAACGGCGAGTCATTACCCCCCCCCCCCCCCCCGGCTGTCTGATTGGCCAGAAAGCCGGCTTCATGCTCCCTCGTCACCTGGTGATGCATACCGGCAAATCAGGAAGCCAGGCAACGAGTCATTACATGGCGCCCGTCTTCCTGGTTGGCCAGAAAGCCGGCTCCATGCTTCCTCGTCACAAGTGACAAGGAAGCATGGAGACGGCTTCCCTGCTAATCGGGAAGCTGGGAGGTGAGTCTTTACACGCCGCACAGCTTCCGGGTAAACAGGAAGCCAGGTGGCGAGTCTTTACACGCCGCCTGGCTTCCTTAATGGGACTTCCGGTATCGGTATTCGCTATCAGCGAATAAAAATATATCGGTACTCGATACCAAAAAAAACGGTATCGGTGCATCCCTATTTATTTATATTTGAAATTTTAAGATTGAATATTCATTTATTAGTCTATTCAATATTTTCACTTATATAACACTTATGGAGAGAGATATGTATGGAAATTTTAAATTGCAACGTTTGAAATATGTTGAAGGAATAATTTGATGATAATGATGATGACAATCTAAATAATTCATTATTTATAATGCACTTTAATTGAGACTTATAGAAATTGAGACATTGTAGTTTTAAGTATTTTGGAATATTGGTAGCGCTGTGCACTTTTTATTCTATTCATTTGCTATTGCACCTTATAGTACAGCAGCTTCCTGCACCCAAATTAAGATATAGTCACTCATAGCACGGAATAATATCTATATAAATCTACAACTAACAGAACAAAGTAATGCTGCTTATCCCCTGCTGTACACGGCGCTGCTAAGGTAGCAGTATAAAGGTGGCCATACACTGTACAACCATCGCAAGACCTTAGTCTTGCGATGGTTGTAAAGGGATTAAAAAAACGTACGATCTGCCTATCTTGGACAGGCAGATCGCACTCTCGATCATCGCAAGCCCGCCCCCCTGAGGGCAGGCTTCCGATGACCGCAATGCTGAACGGGCAGTGTGCGCGTGCGCACACCGGCCCGTTCAGCATTTGTCTTCCGAGCACCGTTCTAACCAGCCGAGAATCGTACGATTCCCGGCTGGTTTTCGAACATGCTGGTTCGACGGAAGACGTGCGACCGTACAGTAGAAACGGTCGCACGTCTCCGTTCACACTGCTCGATTCTCGTACGATCGCGGGATTTCCCGCGATTCTCGTACGAGAATCGAGCAGTGTATGGGCACCTTAAGTCCTAACCTGGCTCGCCTTTAGCATCTAGATAACTGCTAGTGGCCGCAGGTGAGAGTACCTTGCTTGACGGGTTGGACCGTGGTGAACTCTTCCTCCAGGTGCTGATGTCCCGTCTCATTCCTTCGGTGGATGCTGCTCTCCATTAAAAGATTGCTTGAAAGATACGACACCGTCTGCGCGGACAGTTCACTATTACCTGTTACAAAACCAGAGGCTTAATATCAAAGCATCATTAAAATCCAGGATATTGTTTTATCTGGTGAAATCACTAAATATATCTAAGTAACACTTTTACTTTACGTTAAATCAGTGGAGCAGCTAGTGGGAATAGCATGTATCTAAAACCATTAAAGGGTGTATTTAGAAAAATAATTTGCAGAGCTGTTGCATCCTACGAAACTACACACACTGTACATTCATTCAGGGCAAATGAAGGCAAAAATGAATGTTCTGAGTATATTTTCTTTTCAGGTTGAATGTAACATCAGAAAAATATCACAATATGGCCACCAGGTGGAGCTGAGGAGCATAGGAAATACTTATATTGTCTTGTAAATTGTTTTTTTATTTTCTATGCAATCTATAGCAAAATAAGTATTAAAAATAAAAAATATATATATTTTTATAATACATACATTTAATACATTTTTATAATGACAGTTTACATGTATAATAATACATTTTTTTCAATACTTTTTTTTAAATAATTGCATATACATTAAGATGGTGCAAAGCACTGCAAAGTTTTTTTACAAGTAAAAAAGTATTTTTTAATTTCACACATTTTTTTAAAATGCAACACTAAAAAAAATGAATAAACAAAATAGTGTGTCCTGATTCCCCAAATGGGTAAAATGGAGCTTCATTTGCATTAAAACTGCACCATAGGTTTTATTTGTTTGTATATGATATCCTAACTATTTCATGAGGCTAATAACCAGTGACATGCCGTGCCTTCTGTGCTGGGTGAGGCATCCCCCAGACCGCTGATGCTCCACCCCTATCCTGCTGAAGCTCCACCTCATGTCACACCGAAGCTCCACCCCATCCCACTGAAGCCCCACCCCCAGTTTGTAAACCAAGCTGTGTGGGGAGGAGGAAGGGAGGAGACAGGGAGGAGCCTCCCTGTCCCTCACTTGCTCTTCACTGCTGAGGCATCGAGATCGATGTCCTCAGTGGGTTTTTTTCTCTCTTTTTTTATTGGACAGCTTGGACCAATGGCGCTTTGCCATTGGTCCAAGCCATCCACAGAGCTCACGCCTCTAACACAGACTAGAGGCTGTGACAGCTCTTGCTTCAATAGTTAGGTTACACAAGCAGTGGGGAAGCCTGCTGCTGCTACCTGTCAAAAGCCGGATGCAGCGCCGCCTGTAATTAACAGTCAGCGCTCCGTCCATGACAGGTTACACAGCGGGGAGGCTTTCCCTGCTCTGTAACCTGATAGAAGCCGATCTGAAGGGAGAAAAAGCTGTCAGCTTCAGTCTTGAAGCTGACAGCCTTTCCCTCCATAATACTAGGTGAGGATCTGCCTCACCTGACCGCACGTCCCTGCTAATGACATGCATGAAATACAGTTATCCTAAAAAAGTAAATTATAGAGTATACGTACAAAAAATGATGTACTTACTTGTTAGGTAGCAGCCCAAGCTGAGTGACACATTGTCAAATGCAATGATGGAATCTGAGTCCTTGGACCAGGACGCACGGATTTCCAACCAGAACCTGTGTAAAAGGAACAGAAAGACTTGAAGTGTAAGCATATTTCGCTGATCCGTGAAGGCAAAACTTAAACCATTCATATTTATAATGATGCTTCTAAAAGTCTATCGTTCCTATAACAGCCTTTCACGGTCTTTTTATGACATACTGTATTTTCAGAAACTAAGAAAATCTGTTATGAGAGAAATTCTGGAAATGCTTCTCTTGCTCTCCCTAACCCAGAAAACTAGTTGTTTAGACTCCACTTGTTCTGGGTCCTTATGAGTAATGTTTGCTTGTTGACCCTGTCAATGGGGATGGGCATTGGATCTACCCTGAGGATTGAGAGGACACTGGTGCTGAGGTTAGGCTAGGGACCTGTGTTGAGGATAGGTATAGGAGCTCTCCTGAAGATAGGGAGGGGGCCCATGCTAAGGTTGGGCTGAGGACCTGTGTTGAGGATAGGTATAGGAGCTGACCTGAAGATGGGGAGAAGACCTGTGCTGAGGGCGGGTTGAGAACCTGTGTTGAGGATAGGTATAGGAGCTCTCCTTAAGATAGGGAGGGGGCCAATGCTAAGGTTGGGCTGAGGACCTGTGATGAGGATAGGTATAGGAGCTGACCTGAAGATGGGGAGAAGACCTGTGCTGAGGGCGGGTTGAGAACCTGTGTTGAGGATAGGTATAGGAGCTGTCCTGAAGATGGAGAGGGGAACTGTGTTGAGGATGGGCTGAGGACCTGTGTTGAGGATAGGTATAGGAACTGTCCTGAAGATGGGGAGAAGACCTATGCTGAGGATGGGCTGACGACCTGTGTTGAGGATAGGTATAGGAGCTGTCCTGAAGATGGGGAGGAGACCTGTGCAGAGGGTGGGCTGAGGACTCATGCTGAGAATAGGTATAGGAGCTGACCTGAAGATGGGGAGGAGACCCATGCTGAAGGTGGGCTGAGGACCTGTGTTAAGGACTAGGTATAGGAGCTGTCCTGAGGATGCAGGAAGGACCAGGAATGAGCAAAACTGGGAGTTTTTAAATTGACAAAATGTCTCTATTTTAGTAAAATACCTAGGAGCCAATGGTAATGGTGACGTTAAGGTGGATTTTGTTGGTTTTAATGGTAAAATTAGCTTTAAATGGCCCTGAGGTGTACAGGTGCTCTTTTCAACTGAGGTGAATTTATTCCTTTGGCAAAAGCAAGTAGATTTCTTTCTTTCAAGTAAATGTCGCCTAAGTAGCTTAATGAGCTAAATCAAGAGTTTATGCTTTCGCAAACAGCTAAATCACTAATTTCTTGGTGAAATCAATATTGCTGAACCACTTGACTCAGCCCTACTGTGGATCATGAGGATAAGAAGGGGATGTTTGCTGATGATGGGGAGAGGCTGAGGATGGAGACAAGACTCTTGCTGAAGATGGGGTGGGGACTTATATTGAGGATGAAGTGGGGACCTGTGCTGAGGATAGGGTAGGAGAGCCATGCTGAAGATGGGGAGGGGAGAGTATGGTGAGGGGAACCTTGCTGATGATGTCAAGGGGAAACATGCTGAGAATAGGCAAGGGGACCCATGGTCAGGATGAGGGAGGGAACCAATGCTGTGAGGAGGGAACCTGGGCTGAAGATGGGGAAGGGGCCCTTGCTAAGGATGAGCAGTACACACCCTGAATGAAAATAATTAGCAGGTAAGAGGTCTGAACAACTTTAGTTCACAAGTATCAGTTCATGTTTTGGTGCAAATCAGTGAAATTGACTGCAGTTTGGGAAGATTCACATAATAAGTTATGTTAAGTTTTACAGGTACACTTTTCTCTACTCATTTTCATTTATTACCCATAATTCCCTTTAATTATAACCAATAACAGTCAAAACTATATTTTGTATAGCAAACTCAATGGGTAACCTGGGTTGTATGTACCGTAATAGCATGTGTAGGCCAGTCACTGGCGGAACTACCAGGGTCGCAGCGGTCGCAATTGCGACCGGGCCCTGGCGTTCCGCCACTTGGGGGGGCCCAGCAAGGAAGTAGAGGGCCCCCCCCCCCCCGCGATCGTGCCGCTCCTTCTTTGTCGCACACCCGCCCGTAAATGCTGCAGGGCTGGAGACGCTGTCACTGATCCCGGAGAATGAGCTGGTCCCGCCTCTTAGGGGCGGAGCTAAGAGGGCCGTCTCTTAGCTCCGCCCCCTGACCGCCAAGACGAGGAAGAGGGCCATAGGCCTGCCGGAGAGGGAAGGTAAGTTTGGAGTGGGAGGGGGCGCTGGGAAGAGAGAGAGAGTGTGTGTGTGTGTGTTTTGCTGGGACTTGTAGTCCAGCACAGCTGGTGGTAATCTGCATTGCTGTATGATGATTATACAGCAATGCAGAATAGCACCAACTATGTAGGACTACAAGTCCCAGCAATGCATTATGGGGGGCGGGGGTTTGTTTGCTGGTGGTATTCTGCATACCTTACTTTTATTATAATGTATTGCTGGGACTTGTAGTCCCGCATAGCTGCTGGTATTCTAAATTGCTGTATGAAGATTATACAGCAATGCAGAATAGCTCCAACTATGTAGGACTACAAGTCCCAGCAATGCATTATATTTTCAAGTAGGGATACACCAGTGTTAATACTGGGCATTTTCACAAGTATTCATACTTGTGAAAATGCCCCGATACTAAACGCAGATACCGGTGTTCTGTCGAGAACGCTGACCTAGTCGAATTTGCCGTCCTCAGCATCTGTGCTTGCACACAGACCAATATTATCGAGGAAACCGGTATTTATTCACAAAGTATTTCGTTTAAATCGTTAATTGTGACCGATAATAATATTCTGTCCATCATTTCCTGCCACCCATCATTTACTGCCATGGACGGCATATCATTAACGGTCACAATTAATCATTACAAACAAATACTTTGTAAATAAATGCCGGTTTCCTCGTTAATCCAGTCTGTACATAAACACAGATACTGGGTAAGCATTCTCGACAGAAGACCGGCACTAAAATTTTAAACAAGCAGCTGCCTGAGGTCCCACGCTTGCTGGGGACATCGGCAGCCTTCCTGTTAACCATGCAATGCCGTGGGGTTGGGGGGGCCCTTCATGGTTTCTTGCACCGGGGCCCTGAAGGGTCTAGTTACGCCTCTGAGGGCAGTGCCATTAGGGCAGCAGAGTTAGAATGGGCAGCACCAAGCATCGAAATTTAGAGTCTGTGATAAGGGTTCTCTTATTTCTTCTCTGTCCACCTCTGGACATTTGTGACTATATCTAGCAGGAGAGCAGTTTATCTGGAATATTTTATAACTTGTTGTCTATTTTCTGTGGTCATGCAGCAGGCGAGCACAGGGACACGCACCTTTCCATCACATCCTTCAGGGGAAGCACCAAAGGCTGCCAGACACCCAATCCCTCTCCATTGGTGAAATGCCAAAGGGTTCTGGATTTTGCCCTTCCGGTTTTATTGTCATGAAGCCGGATGGATACATCGCCGAGCAGGAAACCGTCCAGAAGAAAAGACATTCGCAGCTGGAACACAAACAGAAGAAACTGTGAATATAGTTTTCTTTTAAGAAACTGACAGTTTACATAGAGGATCCACCACTGCTGAACTCTTCTTCTGAAAATGCAAGATGCCGAACTACCATGCTGTTCCAATAGCGACAGTACCTCTTGGGTCACTGACCCGTTATAGGTACATGAGGAGTTCTGACTTTACTGGCTGACTATTTGCTCTATCTCAGAAGATAGTAAAGCCATTCATATTTCATACAAGATAGTAATCGGGCATTCCCATTTCTCTTTGTACAGGTTCCCTACAACATGGACACAACCAAAGCTGGACGTAACAGATACACAGATACACTTAACACATATCTACATTCGTACCAAAGAAGATTAAACCTATTCTCTATGGGGCATACACAGAGCTCTGACTATGTTACTTGCATGTGTAAATGTCGGCTTGAGCTACAGGGCTCTGTGCACAGCAGGCAACAGAAGCTAAGACAGATTCTGGAAAACATCTGAGAATGGCCCAAGGGCACCCTCGGTTACTTTTTCATGAGAATAAAACATATAAATATGCAATTCATGTTTACCTGATACAGAAAACAAATTGTATTTATTTTCATAATTAGAAAACACATAAGTAAAACCACTAAGGGCACAAGGCTCAGCAATCTTAACTATCCCCTATCCGCATTGCTTTTTCACTATATGTACCTGCTCTCTGTTCTCTCTTGGGTCATGTGATGCAGAGGATCCCCTTGTTCCTCATATTTCCTCCAGCGATAGACGGTCCTTATGCCTGTAGTGAATGGCGCTTAGATGTCCTTGATGCTCTGGGCTCAGAGGAAATGGGTTGAGTGCTGCTAGGCATCATTCAACCCTGAAGACCAGTGGCAAATGGAGAGAACTTTCTACAAGGGACAGTGCTAGAGAGGAGGTGAGCGTTGCAGAAAAAGCTGTTTTGTTTTTGGAGTGGAGCTTTAAGGTAAAAACTACAGCAATGACTCCAAATATGCGCTCCGTAAAACCGCATTGCAGTTTCCCTTTTAACTTGTTTTTTATTATATTTTAAACTGCTGAGCCTTGTAATAAATTTAGACAAGAGCCAGAGTCAAAAGTCTTTTTGCTTTTTTCCTTTTTGTCAGCTTCATCGTTATTACAAAATCTGTCGGAAGCCATATTTCCAAAGACACCATGAAAGCGGCACAAAATTGACTGTCCAAATGGAAAGACCAGAGGCAAATTGAAATGTCCACCTTCTGCGCATAGCCGCCCAGCACCCCGCTCAATAACTAGTTTTCTAGAGAGCCGCGATAGATGCTGATGCAGGAGGAGAAGCAATCTGATTTTGTTAAACTTGACACCAAAATAGCTTCTGCTTAATAGACAGTTTTTTTCCCCTGAATCTTCTCTAAGAACAAAAGCTTATTGAGATTGTGTAAAGTGCTGGACAATGCACCTTTTAAAGCACAGAAAATGAAAAGATATTGAGAGCTTGGGAAAAAAAAAATCGGTCCTGTGCGCTTTTGGGCCTCTGGAGAAAGAGTGTGGTCACCATATCAAAGGAAATGCTTATCCAATGGTTCACATTGTGTTGTGTTTGCCGGCCCCATTTCTAGAGTAGCTGCTCCAGTGGAGCTCCAGAGAGTAAGTTACCATTCAGCTCCAGTAATCTAGAGGAACCGTTTAGCTCCAGGTGGAGCCACAGATGTTGAGCTCTGGAGGGCCCCAGAAATCCAATCAATTCAAGGTGGCACCACAAACCTTTCGGTTCCAGGTAGCTCCAGAAACCCTTCAGTTCCAAACAGTTCCACAAATCCATTTAGCCCCAAGCGGATCCTGAAACAATTCACTCCCAAGCGGATACAAAAACCCATCTTCAGTTTCAGATGGCTGCAGAAACCCTTCAGCTTCAGGCAGCTCAGCTCCAAAAGCTGAGCACCATAGTGCAATTTGCAGTACTTATTTCCTGTGCTTCTCAGCTCCATCTAGTGGCCATCATGTATTATTACAACATGAACTACATTCAATCTGGGAAAAGCTCCATCCAGTGGCCATAATGAATTATTACAACACACTACATTCAAACTGGGAAATTATATATTAAGAACATTGGTTTTTGGCAAAATTCGCCCCAAAGCAAACATTCATAGATATTTGCAGGGTAAAGGGCCCTCCGAATTGACTTCAAAGTGTCAACCTTGGCAAGTGAACTCTCATGGCCCTTCCAGAGAGTCGCTACAAGGCTCAGCATTGCTTCTAGTGAGACACTAAAGATGCTGGAGAGTTAAAATCCTATCAAATCTTCTAGCTTTTCCCTCTTACAGTGCTAATCAGGCATATTCAAACACACGTTAAATGTCTTAAGGCAGAACTTCCTCAGGGTGGGGTTGGGCTCTCCTCATAATGTGTAAGTATATGTAAGCATAATGATACGCATACGTCTCAGTTTGCACTCCTGGAGCAGTGACAAGTCCAGGTTTTAGTACCTGCTCCTCCAAGTGACATTACATCGCCCCTGTCACCCAAGTCTTTTATCGGCATGCCTTGTACATGCAGTGCACATAGAAAAAGAAAAGTTTCAAGGAGCATTGGGAAAACATCTAGCTCCTTGCAATTTTTACAGCGGAATTTTGGTTCTGCTTTTACATAATTTCCCTAAGCTCTTGCAGATAGAGCAATTTGCTGCCAATCAGATTTGCTCTGGGCTATTAAAGGTGTCGATATCTAAGCAGCTACAGCAACATCAAGGGTGATAACTCTACAGAATGATTAATACAGAAGAAAGAGCATTGTCACCATATCAAAGTAAGTGCACTTCCCCAGCATGCACCACTGGTCATGGAACTCATAGTGATTGGCTGAAGAGACATAAACACTCCCAATTTTCCTCTGTTGGCTGCCCCACTCTGTGGCAGGGTCACACCCCACTACAGGTGGGTGTGGACAATGGCAGGACACCTAGGAATGATCAAATGATAACAGACAAATCAACCAGACTGATTACAGTTCCAGCAACACTAAATTTAATGAGCCACTCCACTTAGGGTAAAGGGGCTACATTGAATGTGGAATATATAAGACACCAGGGACTGGAGGTTAAGGGTCTTTCTGTGCCCTCTGGGAAAGATGCAATTGTCACAAGACTGAAGGAACAGAATTTCATCTCCATTGTCAGGTAAGCTGACATTTAGCTGCCTACCTGAAGTTGAGCTCTCAATAGCAGGTAACCAAGAAAAATGGATCAGTAGCTACATCAACATAAACAACAGTAATAATACCATAAAAATACATTAACCCAACAGGCTGGCAGTTGGCGAGCTTAATGTAATAAAGTCGTGCGTTGATACATTACTTTAATTCATAGCAATCTGTTAATGACAATTTGGACACTGCATACGCTACTCTGCAAGACTTCCTCTATAAATAAAGTCATTTTTGTTCCTTCTATTATTTTTTTTACGGGGTGATTAAGATCAGCGAAACCGCCGTAACCTCATTAATTAGCTGTGTGTGAAGATTTACCACACTGAAAGAGCGTATCAATTTTATAAAAGTTCAATTAAAAAATTGTGACTTGGGTGTTTATTTCTTGCGTTGTTTGTATTCGGCTAATGGAACATCCTATACTTTAGCCATCAGCAAATAATACAGTTGTGATTACAAGCTGGGAAGATGAATGGGACAGCAGGAAGACCCTCTCCCCTGGATAGTCACGGCCATTATTCATAGACCTCGGCGTTACAAGCCGGGAAGATGCAGAATGCTATTAATTGCTGGAGCAAAAAGGCTTATCTGGTTAAATACACAAGACGTTTATGGCCTGTCTGGAGGATCAGATGGGGATGGATATTCATCTTCTTGTAACTCTACAGATAGATAATTCATTAAAAAAGCTGCCACCCATAAGATCTCTTAATTGACCCTCTGGAGATGGAGTGACAGCTTGAGTCGTGTGATAGTTCCGGAAAGTAATTGTAGCAGCTGCGGCACTCAACAGCGTAAAAAAACCCTAAAAACAAAACATACAATTGTAGTGAAGTTAAAGGGAACTTCTAAGAATCCTACTTAAAGTAAACCTCCTGATCTTCCTTCTTTGCCTCTTCACTAAGACGAGTTACTTCACTAAATGCAGCCTATCCATTGACTAGAAACCGGTGACATCACTGAGAATGCAGCCTATCCATTCCTATCCCTTCACGGGATTGTGTCATTGCTAAAACATCCTACAGGTAGATTAGCAAAAGAGAAGCATAATTTTCAAATCCATTTAGCTTGAGGAGATGCTATTGTGTATTAGGGATGGCAGAGAGTGTTTTTGTATTAGGGATGGCAGAGAGTGTTTTTGTATTAGGGATGGCAGAGAGTGTTTCTGTTAAAAAGGTGAACGAACCCTTTAAGTACATTTGGAACTTGGGTTTAATTGCTACTAATAAAGTAAAGCCCCTACTGCTCCGGAAGCCGGAACTGTGTATGGAGATTACCCCATCTCAATACATAACCAGCATGAAAATGAAAAGCCTGCATGTTTTATTTAAAAAAAACAGGGTTCTACATGTTTCGAGGTGGACTCTCACCTCCGGCTCAGTTGCACCAGATCAGGAATAGTTATAATACTCATGTTTATGTTGATTTCTCAGGAGCTTTGACCGGCTTATCCATATGGATGACAGCTTCTCTTCCAAGGACACCCTTGATCTCACCTCCTGTCAGTCAGCTGTACCAACTTATTTAATCACAGGGTAGCCCCACTGTTAATTACTGGTGGTGGTGGAGCTAGAGGGGTCACGAGCCAGTTACTTGATTTCTTGCACTTCCTCATTTGTCAGTCCGTTAGCAGCGAAATGAGAGGATGACATGCACATTAGGGATAATTAAGGCTTCTGCTTCAGCTCAGCAATTACAGGGCAGCACTGACAGAGAGGCGATAGCCTTGGGCTCCTTTACCCTTTCAATGCCACATTCTTATCTCGTGTGCCCACCCTGACCGCTGGGCTAATCGGGCGTCTCAGTGACTG